CAGCAACACAGGCATTTGTGCACCTGTTCACTTGAACGCATTTACAGAGCAACCAGGCCCAGGAGGAGGGCAGGACAGTGAATAAGCTGGGCACTTTTTAAAAATGCCTCTCAGGGCCGGCTGGGTGGTGCAGCAGTTAAGTGTGCATGTTCCGTTTTGGCAGCCCAGGGTTCACTGGTTCGGATCCCAGATGAGGACATGGCACTGTTTGGCAAGCCATGTTGTGGAAGGCATCCCACGTATAAAGTAGAGGATGATGGGCATGGATGTTAGCTCAGAGCCAGCCTTCCTCAGCAAAAAAAAAAAAAAAAAAAAGAGGATTGGCAGCAGATGTTAGCTCAGGGCTAATCTTCCTCAAAAAAAAAAAAAGCCGCTCATGGAGGCTGGCCCCACATCTGAGTGATTAAGTTTGCACACTCTGCTTTGGCGGCCCAGGGTTTTGCTGGTTCGGATCCTGGGCACAGACATGACACTGCTCATCAGGCCATGTTGGGGTGGTGTCCCCATGCTACAACTACAAGGACCCACAACTATGTACTGGTGGGATTTGGAGAGAAAAAGCAAAAAAAAAAAAAAAAAGCCTCTCATGAAGCTTCTGACCCAGTGGGTGAAACCGAGGTGCCAACCTAAGTGTGATGAAGCATTGTGATACTGAGTCCAGGTGGGCAGAGAGGGGGCTCGAAAGAGAACGGGGCCAGTTGTTTCCTGGACTAAGGGTCTGGGAAGGTTTCATAGGAGAGTTAATGCCAGTCTTGACAGATGAATATGTGATAACCAGGTGGGCAGGTGAGGGAAAGAAAGATCAAGAACAAAGGCAATATATGACACAGCAGGACACCAAAGGGAGAAGGGGAAAGGGAGGAGGGGAGGCAAAGAAGGAGCAAGGGAACCGAGCAAGCTTGCTAGCTAAAGCGGGAAGGTCCAGGGAGGGCTTCACTTTGTTTTTAGGTTCTAGGGCCCCTAGATATCACTTGGTTACAAAATGGGAGTTGGCAGAGAAGATGGAAATGCTGACAAAAAGCAGGAGGAGAAAGTACGAGAACAGGATCTCGGCTTGGAGGAAGAAGGTGGGGAGGGGATTCATAACTTAGACTTCCTCCTAGAGGCCACTGGGCAGGAAGCGAGGGTGGAGGTAGAGAGATAAGTCTGACAGGAAGCTGAGGAACAAAGGAGTTACACTGATAGCAGTCAAGGAGGGTGAGTCCTCAGCGGAAGGTGTGGGGGGAGAGTAAGGTGGCTTAAGGAGAGTGATCAAAGTTAGAAAGGCCAGCTGGGGAAGGGGGAAGAGAGAGACCAAAGACTGCTGGGCAAGTTGGGGGACCCTGGAGGCTGGAGGCTGTGAGGGGATCGTGGCCTGATGAATGTGCTAGAGAGGCCCCCTCCACCTGTGCTCAGTTACTGGTGAACCAGCAAACGCCAATGGTGGACCCACTCAAAAGGAAGGATGACAGCGACAGAGTGGAAGAGCAAGATGGCTCTTCAAAAAGGAGAGTGGTGATGTCTAGGCTGGACAGGGAAGAACTGAGTCCTTAATGGTGGAGAGTTCCAGGTCATCAATAAGATCCAAGAGCATGCTTGCGAGGCATGAGAATTCAGGGGACAGAGACATGTGGCCAGAGAGAAGATAGTAGAGCTTAAAATTCCAGAAGTATATTCACCAAGAAATACCATATGCTGGGTCATAAAACAAATCTCAATAAATTTAAGATTATGTAACCATCACCACAATTTAATTCTGGAATATTTCCATCACATCCAAAAGAAACTCCAAACGGTTGCAGTCATTCTCCATTCCTGCCATCAGTCCTAGGCAACCATTAGTCCACTTTCTGTCTCCAAGATTTGCCTTTTCTGAACATTTCATAAAAATGGGATCATAAAATATGACTGGCTTCTTCTACTGAGCATAACGTTTTTCAGATTCATCCACATAATAGCATGTATCAGTAGTCTGCTTCTTTTTACTGTAGAACATTATTCCATTGTATGGATATAGCATATTTTATTTATCCATTCATCCATTGACAGACATTTTCAATTATTTCCAGTTTTTGGCTATTAGGAATAATGCTGATTGAATATTTGCATATAAGTCTTTGTGTGAACATGTTTTCATTTCACTTGTGTATATACCTAGGAGTAGAAGTGATGAGTCTTATGGTAATTCTGTGTTTAACCCTTGAAGAAACTGCCAAACTGTGTTCCAAAGTGTTTGTACCATTTTACATTCACATTGGCAACGCAGGAGAGTTCCCATTTCTCCACATCCTTGCTAACATTTGTTATTGTCCATCTTTTATTATTATAGCCATTCTAGTGGGTATGAAGTAGTATTTCATTGTGGTTTTGATTTGCACTTCCTTAATGATTAATGATGTTTGGCATTAAGCATCTTTTTAGGTATTTATCAGCCATTTGTATATTTCTTTGGTGAAATGCCTATGCTAACCCTTTGCCCATTTTTTATTGTGTCTGTTTTTCTACAATTGAGTTGCAAGAATTCTTTACATATTCTAGATACAATATTAGATTAGATATGATTTGAAAATATTTTGTCCCAGTCTGTGTCTTGTCCTTTTCTTAATAATGTCTTTTGAAGAGAAAACATTTTTAATTTTGATGAAGTCCAAGTTATCAATTTTTTTCCTTTAAGGATCATGCTTTAGGTGTCAAATCTAAGAAAGTCTTTGCCTAACCCAAGGTCATGAGGATTTTTCTCCATCTTCTAGACGTTTTATAGGAGAATTAAATTAGAAATCAATAAAACTAAGATATGCTCAAAAAAATAACCCACAAATATACAGGAATTAACACATTTCTAAATAATCTATGGGTCAAAGAAGAGATAATAATGGAAATTAGAAAATACTTCAAACAGGATGATAATGAAAATATATTTGCAGAAACATTTAAAAAGCAAAAAATAAAAGGGGATTTATTAAACACACGTCATGTGCATCTTTTGCCCTCTTCTCTTACAGTTATTAACATGTTTTTCCTCTTCTCCTTCAGAGTCAAACTTCTCAAAAAGGATGTTTATATTCAAGTATCCATATTTGCGTTCACATGTTCATTTCCTTACCCTACGCTCCTCAGTAGGATGCACTTGGCTCGCATATGCTTCACTCCACTGGCATAGCACTTACGAGGGTCCCAGTGACCTCCTTGTTGCTAAATCTGGTAGAAGTGCTTCTGCCTTCATCTTGCCTTCTTGGCGGCATAAATGCCAGTTTTCCTTCTGCTTTCTTGGTCTCTCCTCCTCACTCTCTGTCATGTTCGTGTCTCTCAAAGATCAGCCTTCGGTCCTCTTTTCTTCCTTCTGCATCCTCTCTCGTTAGACAACCCCATCCATCCCATGTTTTCAATGACTATCCATACAGAAATTATTTTATATGTATATTCCCAGCCCAGATCCCTCCTCTGAATTCCCCACCACAGATCCAACAGCCCTCCTCCAGTATCTTCTCTAGTATCTTCTCTCAGGTGTTCTCAAAGGCCTCTCAAACTCTATTTGTCCAAATTCAAACTCATGATCTTGTTCTTCCAGCACAAGTCTTCTGTTGAAATTTCTTCTTTCAGTAAGTGGTACCACCTGCCCAGTCGCAAGCCCGGAATCTAAGAGTCATCCGGGCTAAGTCCTTCTTTTTAAAATCCCATATCCAATCCATCATTATGTCTTATGGATTTAACTTCAAACATCTCTCAAATAGTTATCGTCATCTCCATCTTGGCTACCACCATCCGAGTCTCTCCACAAGACTATGGTAGAGTCTCCTAGATAGTTCCCCTGAATCCACATGTACCGTCATCACTCAACTCATTCTGCATACTGGGCTCAGAGTCTTGTCACATCACAATCTATCATGTCACTCTCCTACTTCAACGGCTCTCAACATAAAGAAAACTTTAATGTGGTCTATAAGGCCTATCCCAATCTGGTCTCTACCCACTTTCTAGCCTCTTCTCTAAGCCACATTCCCTTTCTTCTGTGATCTGTACATTTGGGTCCTTTATTAGTTGCTCACACTGGCCATTTTCCCTTAACCACACGGCCTTCACACATTCTATCTCCTCTGCCTGGAACGTGTTTCCCTCCCCTTTTTGCTGTTTCTTCCTACTCATCCTTCATATCTCTGTCAAGCATCACTTCCACAGGGAAGGCGTCTGTGAGCTCCCTCACAAGGTCAAAGGCCCCGATTATTATCAACCCTCCTATCTCTTCTTAGCACCCACTGCAGCTGCAGCTTTATCATTTAGTTTGGGTGATTCTATGATTTAGGTCTGCCTCCCCAACTAGACTTTTTAAGTGCTCTGAAGGCAAGGACTATATCTAGTTTTATTCACTATTATATCCTTAGTGCCTGGCACCAAGATTAGGAACATAGTAGCCACTGAAAAATATTTGTTGAATGAATAACTGAGTCATGGTAAGGTCATCTAGGATGAAAATACGACTTGAAGTGGAGAAGATAACAGCGAAGGAAGACATGCTAATATCTTCCAAGAATAAAGGGGAGTGACTAAGGAAGAGCTGAGGATGATATAGACAATGGTGGATGCCCCCAGGGAACAGGGCTGTGTGAAGGTGGCGGTGTTATGGGAGTACAGAGTTAGGCATGGAAAAAGAAAAACAGGCTCTCCCAGGGATTCACCCCTTTGCCTTGACCAGATATTCTTCAGGGAAAGGGGAAATGCCCCTCATAATCAGTATTCAAAGGGGCTACGATTTTCCTTAGAGGAAGCAGGAAAGCCATCATTCACTACAGGAAGTTTTCAGTCAATGAAAACGGGGCAGATGGAACACATTCAACCTGGTCATTGAATCCCCAAAGATCTGCCATGGTCCCCATTCCTGAGGAATGGGTAAACTAACACAGAAAACCCTCCACTCCCAAACTGTCACACAGCATCTTATTAACAACTCTTTTTGATTCTTTACCAGACACTGAAAACCAGATGTTTGAGACATGAATTCAAACACTTTCCATGAAGTCATGTACCTTGGTCCATCCAGGAAAACGGATAAAGGTGTCCTGGGGCAAGTCTGAGATCCCACTGGGAATGGAGAAGTTCCCTACATAAAAGGCTGGGAGTGTGTAGTTAGATGAGTTGCAGGCACAGGCTTCATCACGGGAGCCACTGTCATGGCCATCCCAGCCCCCCAAGTGGCTGCTCACTGCATCCTCTGTGTCCAGTGGGAAGATCATCCAGTCCGTGAGGATTTTGGAACCAAGGGTCAGGTTAGAAATAAGACCCTGTAAAGGTGAAACAAACAATGAGCTCGGGTTGGGGACAAGGGAGGAAAGGCTTCAAATGTCCTTGTAGTCTAGCCCTGAATTCCTGGGAAGAGCAAATTGGGATAAGAAATGCCAACAGTAAATGAGATGCAAACTATGTGTATGTCAAAGAGCTTGAGGCCAGAGCTCTTGACCCCAAATCCCCAATCTTCAGTGTTCGGTTCAGAGACATTACTAGAATGGAAGGAATGATGGAATCTGAGGCATGGGAGAATTAATGGTGTGGGGGATGCAAAAGAACATTCAGCCCACTGTAGATGGGAGGGAGGGACCCTCACATATAGCAAGGAGCAAGTCCTGACCTTGAACTCCTCAGCAGCACTCACAGGGATGATCACACCTGAGTCCAGTCACCTTTGTGGGACTAAATGAGATACCAGAAGCAAGAATACTTTGATATCTGTAAAAGGATAGAAAGTGCCATGATGATGATGACTTGTATTCTGAAGTTGCTCTATCTGTCCACTGGGGTCAGGGGGCTGGCGCGTCCATGGCACCGGCTACTGCATCGAAGTCTATGCTTATGACTCACCTAGCTTCCTTTTCCCAGCCTTCCATATAAGAACTTCTCTATTCCCAGTGGGATCCCAAATTTGCCCCAGGACAACTCTCAATACCAAGCCTCAACTGCCCATTTAGTAATTCAATGAACATTAATGGGGCAGCTGTGTGCCAGGCACTCTCCTGGGTACTGGGGACCCAGAGACTACACAAGAGTCTCTGTCAATCCACAGGTCAGCGTGGCCTGTGTTGGCCAAGCAGGAAGGCCACTATAGCGTGAGCACAAGGACTGTAACAGGGGCATCTCTAGTGGAGGCAAATGTGGCCCTTGCAAGGCCATTCCCTGAGAGTGTAATTGTCTTGCTTCTGAGCTGCAACCAAGAGTCAGGAAATAGCCCGACACCTGTCCGGTCCTAGAGCAGGTGGTGCCATAATTCCTTCAGTGCAGGCCTTTTCTCCTCCAGCAGATGGTGAGCTACTCGTTGGGGAGCCTATATCTGAACATCTCTGCATCCCCAAAGTACCTCGTGGAGCATCTCACATAGAGTATGAGCTTAACAAATGTTTGCTGAATAATGTTCTACAAATACGTGTCAGAAAAACACATTTGGACTAGACACCTGGGCACGGAGTAACCAATAGAGGCAGGAGGCAGTGCACCAAGGGAACAGGCTTTCTACAATTCAAGAGTTTGTCACAGATCATCCACACACAGAAACAGAGCAGACCAAAGGCTAGGCTGGCTTTGTTGGCAAGGGAGTGTCTTTCGTGAGCTAGGTGGGCTTTTTAAGCAAAAGAAAAGCCCAGTGGTGAGGCTTCCGCCTTTTGTTTCTTTCTACAGGATGAGTGAACTCAACACAAGGGAAGTGTTCTGTTTGCAAAGTGCAACTTTCTCATCACCTGCAGAGGAAAGCAAGTCTTCAAAATAACCCATCTTCTAGGCTGCAAAACAAATCAGGCAGGTTCACTCATCAAATGCGGCAAAGTGTGTGCTTTTAAGCATCGCCTCTATCTTAACAGGGCTGAAGGGAAAGAATGTATACATGAGTTTTTAAATGGATTTAAAAGACTTCCTTGGACGGCTTAGGCACAGTCCTGTCAACCTTTGAACCTCACTCCTGACAGTGTGGCTGGTCCTACCTTAGAATCATTGATATATGTGCCATAGTTTATGCGCCCCATGTTCTCCACCAGCAGGTCCAGAGTGGCTCCAGCTTTCCCTGTTATGTTCAGAGTGGTCACAGTATTTCGCTCAAGGATTCCCTGGGGGACCTGTGGGTTCAATGCCAAATGAAAATTAACTCAGGTGAGAAGACAGCAGAGAGGTTGCTCATTAGTTAATTCAGCACTCGTTTTCCCACTGTGAAGTGTCACCAGACTCGGGAGGCAATGCTTCGATGGCTTCTTTGCTCAAGTCACCGGCCAGGTGGCCACGTTCCTCCAATCAATGCTTTCTAAACAGGAAAATCGCCAGACACAGCTCAGAGCAAGAAAAGGTCTAGGCTGGTTTCCTTTGCTCTGGAATGTTCTGCTGTGCATCTATTTTTACTAGAAAGGGAATGGAGGCAAAAAATTCCAGGGGAGATTCCTATTACAGGAGCTGCTTCGTGTTCTGCCAGCACAGAAGGCAGTCATAAAAAGTAGCTCTAAAACAAGATGGAGAGACGAGACATCAGATAAAGGAGATAAAATCAGAGAGTTAGGTGGAGTAGTCTCACCTCAAAATACCTGATATGCTGCATTAACCACGAATATTATGTAACAGAATAAGGGAAAACAACAGGTATTTTAGCAGCAACATATTCCTATTTTTTTAAAGGTGACACTTCAAAAAAAATTGATGTTATACTGACCACAATTCACTAAGACAACCCCTAAATTGGAATGCAAGAAACAACTGCCATCAGTAGATACAGAATGTCTTAGAAACTTGCTCCACTCAGTTAAAGCTGCTGATGACAATGGAATGGAAATTTTTAAATTTTAAATTTTAAAGTCTGTTCTGAACACATACTCTTGGTCAGGAAAATCTCTTCACCTGTTCTTTCACATGATTGTTTCAGTGAGAGGAATGGAAATCCTAAAATGTATCTTTCCTTGTTATGAAACAAAGTTGTTTGTCTATTTTAGCTATAATTATCACGAGCAATCCTTCAGAATACAATTTCTCATGAAGGATGAAGGCACAAAGTTAAATGAATCACCATTCTAGTATGTACAAAATGGACCCCGTCCCCAAGGAGCAAAGAAGACAGAGGTTACACGCTATGGTCAGTTAGAGAGGACGGCCTTGGACTGGGGACACCAGGAAGGTTTCCGAGAAGGTGGGGCCTTGAGCACAGCCCTCCAGGTTGACATGGTGGAGGGGGTGTATTCCAGGCAGATGGAGCATGGATGAGGCCACATCAGGAAGCCAGGGGACACAGCTACAAGCTATCAAGAGGAGGGGCGGAGGCTGAAGTTGGAAAAGGGGGCAGAGGCCTCGAATGCCACGCTACCAAGTGCAGACCACGCATGTCCATGTTGGGGCAAGCTTGCACAGTTCACAGACAATTCTTACCCCATCCACAGCAACATAGGCCCGATCGTGGACTCCATTGAGGGGTGAGGAGAGGGGCGTTGGTTTGCTGCAGTTTTGACGAAGCGTTGTTCGGTACAGCACAAACCCAAAATACTGATTAGAAAAGAATGTCAGAAAAACACATCACTCTTGCTGTTCATTTGAAGAGAACTTGGTCACCCTTGATTTACTTGAAGTGCTGTCTCTAAAACCATAAGGAATGAAAAGCTTCCCCAGCCTCTAGCAAAAATTTGGTCTGAAAAACGGGAACTGGCTTAAGTTTTTAGATCATAGAATAACCGTCACAGCAGGAAACCCTGAAGGGCATGTTGGCCAAGACCCCTTTCCCACACGAGGAAACTAGACCCTGGAATGTGTTAAGTGATTTGCCCAAAATCACTCAGGGGGACCCTATCATATATATCCAAAGGTGGTTTATGTTACCTCAAAAAAAAAAAAACCAACAAAAAAAGAACCTAACAAAAAAAGGCAAACAACCAACAACAAAGCCAAGAATGTTCGGCAAAACATTCTCCAGGTTCTTGGGCTAAAATCTGCTCTCACATACAAAACAAGAGTCAATCAGAAAGTGTTTAAAGTGGAGGAGCAGGGGTGAAACAGAGAGAGTGAGAGATGGGGGAGTAACCGGTTGCTAAGTCAGAAAATACTTTTAGATGCTAGTAGCCCTGGTCTGAAAGGAAGGCCCCAAACAGTCAGCCTCGGCAGCACCAGCACCCACAGCCTCAGTTAGTGACTTTCCTGCTGTAGACATTGGCGACAGTGAGCGGGACCTAATCCTGAGTCACAGAAGAGAATCCAAATAGAAATCCAGCGTGGAGCAGAGAAGAAGCTCCCCACTTCAGGGCCTGGAAAGCAAGGACGCGTACCTCCGGCAAGCGGGACGGTGATCTGGAGGAGATGACAAAACATTAACCCACGTTCCTGTGTTACAGGAAAGGGCTGAACTCAAGAAATGCCACTGGGACTGCCACTCAAATCTTCAAGCACAAGGATGCCTCCCTCCTAGACACCAAGTCTCCATCTCTCTCTTGTTTTTTCCTTTTGAAAGTAACCAAAGCGGTAAGCTCTAACTCAGAGGCTGAAGAAAACCTAGCGAAGGGCCTCCAGGAGGGGAGCGGAAGCTGTGTTGCTCCCTGCAAAGGTGTGGGTGAGGCCTCGGAGGTCGGGGGACCACGGGGGGGCCAGCTTCAGAGGTACCAAGGCTGCACCCCACTCCCTGCAGCTGTGCCCTCCATGGGTTCACTGGAAATAAACATTCCGTGGACTTGCCCTGGACCCAAAACAGCCAGGGCCCAGGGAGCCCCACTCGCTATGAGAGCACTGCCTTGGCCACAGATTGGAAAGCAGAAGGGGTCTGAGAAAGAGCGGTGACTGCAAGGGTCTATCCATTAACCTGAACTCCACTTCCCAAGTTCCAACTGCTCGAGTGGCCGTGTCTTGTCTGACGTGCTCAATGGCCCTGACAGATGAAGACAGGTTCCATTTCATAGAAGAAGACATAGACGTACAGCCAGTGTGTGCTAGAACTTAAGAACTCTACCCAATGTTAATGAAGAAGCAGGGAGGGGAGCTTAATTACTCATATAATTTATCACAAATCGGAGTTGTTGGAATAAATCACAAGCGTAAAAATAGTAACTGGAGGCAAAAAATACACTAAACTAAGATTAGATATGTTATTATTATGTCACCTTATCATTCAGACACCTGCCAGAGGTGAGCTGCACAGAAAGTCAGAAAGGAGGACCCAGGTAACTTTCCATTTCAAAAAATGGGGCTGAGATCCTAAGTGATCAAACTTAACATCACCACAAAGGGACAAACTGACCTCATGGGCATCTGATATGGTGCCCTGAGAAGGACACATCACCTTTGTCACGTTTGTACCAAAAATATTTTACTGAACCTAATTAGTGAGGGGCAGTGCACAAAACAATAGCCTGAACACTTCAGAAACGTCCGTGTCATGAGAGAGAGAGAAAAAAAAAACTGAGCAACAGTTTCAGAAGAAAGAAGCCTAAAGAGACATTATAACTAAATGCAATGCATGATCTTGGAATGCCAAGGGATACTTGACTACAGAATGTATATTAGATAATAGGATTGTATCAATGTGAAATTTCTTAAGTGTGATCGTGGTCATACAGGATAATGTCCTTCTTAAAAGATACATGCTGCAATATTTGGGGTGAAGTGTCATGATTTTGACAAATAACTCAAATGGTAATAAAAAAAAAAGCCGTTGATACATACACACACCTACAGAGAAAGATAAAGTAAGGGAAGCGACTGTTCACACTTGGTTAGGCTAGTGTTAACTATGTGAAAGCCATATAGGGGTTTGCTGTACTATTCTTGCAGCTTTTTCAGATTTGAAATTTTCCAAACAAAAAGAAATATAATGATCTACACCTGAAATTTATATAATGTTATAAACTAATGTTGCCTCAATTAAAAAAAACAAGTTCGGGAAAAGCTTTTAAAATAAAGATGGGGCCGTGCCTAGAGATTAAACACACACACACACAAACACACACACACATACATGATATGCTCTGTTCTCTTCAAAAGCAGGGAAAAAAATCTCTAAGAACTGACTCTATTAAGAACATTGTCCTTACACCTTTGAACTAACTAAGGACAAATAATTAATTTGTCCTTTTTGAGTATTAGTGTTTTTTCTCTGGTACCGAGTAATACAGATTAATCAGATCAGAAATGTACTCGATTTATAGCTTTTGCAGAAGCAGGCTGAAGCAGGTTGAGTCACTATCTACTTGAGTGATAATAAGAAATGGGGGAAAAACATAGGAAAGATCAGCCCAGCTAAAGAGAACCTTTACTTCAGGTCTGATGTATCTGCTTACCGTTTTGGTCCCTGTGCTCAGAACAGGCACTACCAGGCAGTGCAGAAAGCACAGTTTGCAAGTAGAAAAAAAGATGAAGCATTACCTTTGAAGACCTACCTGTTTCACCTGGATAAACGTCAAGGGATAAAGGCTTTTTATGGGCCCAGCAGGACACAGAATGTCCAAAGCTCCCTCCACTGTTTTTAACTGAAAAGAAACAAAAGCAGCATTCACTCACTGTCACCCCTTGCTGGTAATCAGAATGGAGGATCACATCATTTGCAAATTATCAAAGACATTAGTGGATTGGACCAAGCTCCTAAATAAACCTAAATGGTTCAAATTCCACTCAACATCGCCGCCCCCAGTCACCTTCAATCATCTCCATCTGTTCCCTAACTCTTGACGAAAAATAACTAATGGCAATCTTAAAGAGTTTCAAACATACTTATTTGCAAATGCAACCTCCTGTAATTAAAGGTCCTTAAAAACCAAGGCTCAGGGGCTGCCTCCTCCGAAAAGCCTTCCCCTACATGCCCAAGTGAAGTCACTATGACTGCGCCCTCCTCTGAACTTGTCCGTGGCATATTTTCCATGCGTGTATCGTTGATCAGTTGATTACCTTTACCGTCCTTGCCAGACAGTCAGCTCCTTAAGGACAGGGTCTGTACTGTGCTCACCCCCAATGCCCAGCACATAGTAGACACTCAGTAAATACCTATTCAATCCAAATGACTGTGTATTCTTGCAACCCAGGATGCTTATTCTGATGCAACAACAACAATGATAACAGCTACCAGTCACTCGGTCCCTAACACACTCCAGGTGAGATGGCACACCTCAGTGAATCCTCATGTTAGGGATGAGGAAACAGGTACTCAGATAGGTCACTTGATCAGTGGCAGAGCCAGAATTTGCAGTTAGGTTTGGCTCCAAACCCAGGACTTCCCAGGAAAAAAAATCATTACAATTCCATCAATTCAGCTACTCACATGGATGTTTTTCCACTTGGACAATTAAAGGAATTCAATTCACAGTAAAAGGTTTTATGCTATATAATTATGTTCTATATAAATTTAATTCAGTTATATGCTGAGTTACTATCACAAATTGTATATATTTAGTTGACAATGAAAAACCACTTCAGCCCACACAATTTTCCTTCATGGTAAACAGAATGTGCTTTTGAAGGGATAAAGAAGATGTGGTGTATATATATATATACGATGGAATACGACTCAGCTATAAGAAAAGACAAAATTGTCCCATTTGCAACAACATGGATGGACCTGGAGGGTGTGATGTTAAGTGAAATAAGCCAGACAGAGAAAGACAAATACTGCATGATTTCACTCATGTGTGGAAGATAACAAATACATGGATAAAGAGAACAGATTAGTGGTTACCAGAGGGGAAGGGGGTTGGGGAGTGGGCGAAAGGAACAAAGGGGCACATATATATATATATATATATATATGGTGATGGAGAAAAATTAGATTACTAGGGGTGAGCATGATGAAGCGTATTCAGGAACAGAGAAATAATCATGTACACCCGAAATTACACAATGTTATAAACCATTATAATCCCAATAAAATTACTTAAAAAAAAAGAATGTGCTTTTGGTACTAAGCTAGCTTTGTTTTAGCAATTTTGTTGCATTAAATACTTGCAGTTACTTTCTGTTGCATAAAAATAAATTTTTCACAGCTCTAAAACAGACCAACCAACCTTTTCCTTAAGTAGCGGTAGCAATGAAAAAGTCGCAGGTGCTCCCTTCACAAATGTGATTAAAGTTTGATTAACCTAAAGCAAGATTCTTATCAGGCAGAGAGACCACAGTCTTTGCAGAATGTAACACACGTATCTGACACTAGGTGGAAAATGTTACCAGAGAGCAACCAACAGTAATATCAAAGGGCTTCGTGAATGGAAAAATTATACAATCATGTTTGGCATTTTGCATAAAGATAAAAACTTATGATGCTATTTTAGAACATCAAGATTCTTAAGAAATATGTAACTGTTTGTGTTTTTTTTTTTCTTGTGAGTTAAGACATGTAGGAGTTAGGGATTATAAAAGGGGAAAACCTGAAGACACAGAAGGTCAAAACAAATTGACTTTGGCTTACGTCACTCCAGACTATTAAATTAAATCTTTCTTCTTTTTCTCTTTTCCTAGAATAAACTGTCTTTAACTTCTATATATGATTAATTTCTAGCGCTTCCCCCTGACGTCTCATTTACCATATAAACCACAGACCACAAAAATTAAGACATGATATTAACACAGAAGGGAGTGTATAATTAAGGGCAAATACCTATCAAAATGCCTGTGGCTTTTGAGAACTCCCTTAATAAAAGGTGAATTATGGAAAAGAACCTCACCAGCCATAACAACAGGGCAGCACGTTATTCCCATAAAGGCTCCTGGCACTGCTTTTGACAACTGACAACTGAACCAAAATGACCTGAACGATCTAAGACTGCCTACCTACTCCTGGCTCATTTGCTCACCCTGTCAGTGTACATATCCTCTTGCCTCCCATGTCCCATTTTCCAAGAAACATCATCTACCCCATCAGTCTCACAGAAAACAAATTCACAGAAAAATAACGAACCAATTCCCCAGCATAACACTTTCACTCACGAATGCAAAATTCCACTTCCTCACTCGCAACGTTTCTGTTATTTTTTTCTTACCTTTTTCATAGCAACTTTTCCATATGCAAACTTCGGTGTGGACGGAGGGATAAAACCTTCTGGTACTTTTTCAAACTATAAACCACAGTGGAAAAAGAGAGAAAAGGAAAAAAACCTGTTAAACCTTCAGAAACATCTGTACAATTAATTTCTCAAAAGGAGGGTCAAAGACTCAAAGAACAGTGCCAGTGATTTTTGGAAAAACAAAGGAATGAAAGACTTTCTCCAAAACAGGATCTGATTAAGTTTTTACTTCTAAGCATGTGTATGTCTGTGTTTTAAGCTCCACGAATCATTCAAATAATTATAGATAAAAGACTTCAAAACAGAGAGCATAAATAAGTAGAGAGAATGAAGTGACAGCAGAAGACTGGAGTGGGGGGAGAAAAGGAAAAAAATACACGGCAAAACAGAATCTAAAGGGAAGTAGCTTATAGGAGCGAAAAACGTTATTTGTAGGTTAAATATTATTGGTAGCTTAAAGTTTTGTTTCAATGTTAGCTTTGCTGTGGTTATGTAAAAACATGTTCCTACCTATTCTTATGCAACATACACTGAAGTGTTTAGGGGTAAAGCGTAACGACGCATGCAACCCTCCAATGGTTTAGAAAACAAGGGGGCAGCGAGGGGCAAATGATGAAGCGGACAGAGCGAGTGTTGACATGGGTGAACCTCGGTGTGGAACATACAAGTTTTCTTTGTACTATTGTTATTCTTGAAACTTTTCTGTAAGTTTGAAATTATATTTAAATAAAAAGTCAAAAAATAAAATAAAACCTTATTAAATATGTGTATACACACACACACACACACATATTTATATCAGCACTAGAAGATATGGATGTAAGTTCCGGGCCTTAGAAAAGTCTGTGTCCATCTAGCATCTCCAAGTATGTTGCATTATAGTCTCTCAGGATCCTTACATTTCTTTCCGTATTTCTTTTTTTGATTTCCCTTTTTAAAAGTAATACAAAAAGAAGAGGAGGATAAAAGTTTGTTATAATGAAAAGCAATAGTCTCCTGACTCACTATTCTCTTAGTTCTGTTCTTCAGAGGAAACCATTTTAAAATCATTTAACTGTTCTTATTTTTACTTCTTTTGACCTCTAAATAATATACTTATCAGCCATTTCTTATTTGATCCATTTAAAACAGTATCATTGATTTCTTTAATACATGAGAATTTAGCTCAGTTGTACTATTCTGGATATTGCCCGTTCTTGCCAACATGGTTATATCACCATTGTCAGTTTCTCTACTGGTTAACTTTGTAGCTTTAAATAATATCCTATACCTTTATTTCTTAGTTCCATCAATTAAGACATTATCCTCTGTGTCCACACAGCTTTTTTTTCAAATGTTTTTTTATTGAGGTTATGATAGTTTAAAACCTTGTGAAATTTCAGTTGTACATTATTATTGGCCAGTCATATTTTAGGTGCACCACTTCACCCTTTGTGCGCGCCCCCCCATGCCCACACTTTTTAAGATAATGCTATTTGCCTCCTTCTCTGAGTTCTCTTCCCTACTCCCACCTTCAAACCCTCAGTTATACTCTCACACTGTCAAGGTTAAAGCAATCTGTCCTGTAGTCATAAGTACTCCCTTCATCTGTATATTGACTGTAAATTCAAAATCAAGCAATAGTGCTCACATTATCATAACTATATAAGTATTGCTCTCTGCGCTGCTAAGTGGTGTATACTATGATGGCGTGTTCTGTCTTGTTCAGCTTTTTGTGTTCTTTTCCCTCCCCTGGGGTTTCTTTTTTGAGGAAGATTAGCCCTGAGCTAACATCTGCTGCCAATCCTCCTCTTTTTGCTGAGGAAGACTGGCCCTGACCTAACATCCATGCCCATCTTCCTCTACTTTACATGTGGGACGCCTACAACAGCATGGCCTGCCTTTCGGTGCCATATCCGCACCAGGGATCTGAACCAGCCAACCCCAGGCGCCGAAGCGGAACATGCGCACTTAACCGCCGCGCCACTGGGCTGGCCCCTCCCCCTGGGGTTTCTAATCGCCTTTCTTTATTCCTGCCTCCTTTTAGGTGAACACTTCTTTAGGTTGTTCCAAATTTCTAAAGATGGTATCAAGTCTCTCCAAACACCCCTTCGACCCCTAGAAAACTCCCTACTGGAACCCTCAGTCCTCTTGCTCCAAGGGACTGACGACTCTCCTCTAGGCTTAATATTCTGGGACTTATTCTTGTCCTGGCTTTTAGCTCGTTTCTGGGATCTCATGACTACCTCATTTCACTGGAGCAATCTCAAATAACTTCCTAAGAACTGGTTGGTGGAAGGTAAATTCCTGAATCTTTGACTGTCTGAAAATGTCACATTTAGTTGATAACTTGGATGGGTAGAGAATTCTATGTTGAAAATCATCTTCCCTCAGAATGCCACAGGTACTGTGCTCTGTCCTCTGTCATCCAGTGAGGCTTAGGCCGGGCTCAATCTTGTTCTTTTAAAAGTGACCAGCTTTTTGTCTCTAGAAACTTATAGGCACTTTATTTTCTATGTTCTAAAATTTTCCAAGGATGTGTTTAGATGTGTATTTTTTTTCCTATTCATTATGCCGGGCTGCTCAGAAATCCTTTTCTGTTTTGGAAAAAATTCTGTATTGTTTCTTTGATATTTTCTTTATCTCCATATTTTTTTCTTCTTATAAGTAAGTTAGATATCCTAGATTGTTCCTCTCTCTCTCATCTTTTCTCTCTATTTCCATCTCAGTCTTCCGGTTCTAATTTCTAGCAGTTTTTTTTTTTTTTTTTTTTTTAAAGATTGGCACCTGAGCTAACATCTGTTGCCAAACTTCTTTTTTTCAGTCCTTCTTCTCCCCAAAGCCCTCCAGTACATAGCTGTATATTCTAGTTGTGAGTGCCTCTGGCTGTGTTATGTGGGACACTGCCTCAGCATGGCCTGATGAGCGGTGCCATGTCCGTGCCCAGGATCCGAACCGACGAACCCTGGGCTGCCACAGCAGAGCACGTGAACTTAACCACTCAGCCACGGGGCAGGCCCCCTAGGAGATTATTTTTAATTTCCAAGAACTCTTTCTTGTTCTTGAACGGCTCCTTTTTCAAAGTATTTCATTCTTATTTTATGGATACAATATCTTCTCAAATCTCTCAGAAGGATGTACATTTGAGAGGATTTGCTCTGTTTTGCTTATATCTCTCCTGTCCTCTGAATTTTTTATAGCGTTAGGGTTATTTTTCTGTTTATTTCATCCTGGTCTTTCTCTTTCCTGTTGCAGGTTTTACGGATGTCCTCAATCATCCGGTCATCCTTGGTTGTCCATTCATATTTAATGGTAATGCAAATGAATACACCAGCATTTGCATAATCATCTTCTCTGTGCCAGTTCTGCTCTGTGTACAGGAACAAGGCTTGTCCAGTGGGGAGCTTTGTTTTAATGTGATTCGGCAAGGAGGATGTAATATGTACGGTCTTTGCTCTGGGGCTATGCACTTTTTTTTTTTAAGAAAAAAAAAAGATTCTGATTTTCTGACTGGTAGAAAGATGCTTCCCTGATGGATAGTCTATTTGAATGTGGGGTGAAAGAGCGGAGGACCTCACAGGAAATACACAGATTAAATTTGACTTCTCATTTTCAGCTCTGTTTCATTTCCATCCATTGTCACACCTTCATTTCCACAACCCTGCCTCTCCAGGGTTCTTTAGGGCCAATCTACTCCCTGCTCCCTGTTTCTATAAGCCCCCTCTGCACGCATTGGGGTCCCAGATTTCCTATCTTACTTCTTCAGTCACCACTCCTCCATCTATTTTTGTTTCTTAGAAATCTTTTGCAATCTCTCATGCATGGACAGCTCCCCTCTTGTTGGCTTCATTTTTTAAAAAAAAATTCCTTTTTTATTGTTTGGTAACATTTTGGAAGGAAAAAGAGACAAATATGTGGTCGTTTAGCCATCTTGAACTGGAAGTTCTTTGTATTTCTAACATTCTGTGAAATTTTAAGAAGATCATGTTAAAATGATCTCCGTGATTCATATTAAAATGAATGTGAGGCCAAAGAGTTACTGTTGATCTTAGAGCAAGATGTAATACCTCTCTTCCCAGCTTTCCCTGAAGTCTAGACCACATCCTTCTCCTTTGGCAGTTTACCCACCCCATCCTCTTCCACCCCACATTCTGGCCAAGAAAAGCAGAAAAAACAAATCCACAGAAGAGCCTTGAAAGCAGTATGATTCGTTTTCTGAGGCCCCTATTTCCCTGTACAAGTAGTGACCACGTCACATCTAACTCCTAAAGTCAAAGCAGATTCCAATGTAACTAGGACTGCAATCTCTTCTACCATATTGGAAGAAAAAGTCATTGCACAGCCATCTTTATTCAAACTACATTCAGCTAACTTTGAGGGAGTGCTAGTTTTGTCATCTCATTTACTACTCACAAGGGCCTGCACTGCTGGTTATCACATTTCCTTTTTAGAGATGAGACTGAGGAGCTTGCTCGAGATCATGAAGAGAACAAGGGAGGGAGCTGAGATTCTGACTCCAAGTCTAGTGCTGTTCCTACTGCTCCATCTTGCCTCTTTTATTGTTGAAACAATAGAATAGAAAGTGTCTTTAACCATAATTCCTCCTAGACCCTCCCCTTAAGCACACATATAATAGGAACATAAGAGATAATTTTGTAATTTGTTGCTGCCACTTATCAAAAGCACTTTTGGCATGACCAAATATTGACAATAATTTACTTATTGCATATTATATTCAAATAGATATGACAGAATTTACATAACCATCCCTTCAATATTAGGAGTTAATTTCAATTTTTGATATTATGTAATGTTGCAATGAACAACTTCAGGTTTATAGCGTTACTCTTGTTTAAAAAAATTTTTTTTTCCTGAGGAAGATTCGCCCTGAGCCAACATTTGCTGCCAATCTTCCTCTTTTTGGATGTGAGCCGCTGCCACAGCATGGCCACTGACAGATGGGTGGTGTAGGTCAGTGCCCAGGAATCAAACCCAGACCACAGAAGAAGAGTGCACTGAACTTAACCATTAGGCCACTGGGGCTGGCTCTAAAAAAATTTTTTTTAATAAAG